ATTGTATAAAAACATCACATATCCTGTATCGGTATTTAGGTGGCCCATCTATAACTGAATTATACAGCCAACTGTTTTAAATTAATGTATTATTACATTAGATCCTATCTGATCAGAAAGAATGCCTAACCCTTCTGTGAGTCTATTCACCTGCATATATCAAGACACAGCATCCTGTATTAAATATATTTTAATTTTTAAAAAGGTGGGGGGAATAGCATTTAGAAACATTTATTGTCATTTTGAGGGGGGAGGGGGTCTCTCAGCACAGACACCCAACACTATATGAATGCTGTGAGAATATGTCATGATTTATAATAGGAATCATAACAAGGCTCATTTGATATTCTAGGTACAATTTCTCCTGGCAGAAACAAGGAGGACCTCTCCAATTTCACTAGGGTACACGATTCTCAGTCTCTGTGTAAAGTTATTCCCATAGACCTTTATATATGTGCGCTGTTTTTAAGTGTATTTGTGGCCGGTTTTTAAATACAGTTAATATAACAGCACAGTATGTTATCAACGGGATGCGGGTGGCGCTGTGGATTAAACCACAGAGCCTAGGGCTTGCCGATCAGAAGGTCGGTAGTTTGAATCCCCGCGACGGGGTGCGGTCCCTGCTCCTGCCAACCTAGCAATTCGAAAGCATGTCAAAGTGCAAGTAGATAAATAGGTACTGCTCCGGCGGGAAGGTAAACCGCGTTTCCGTGTGCTGCTCTGGTTCGCCAGAAGCGGCTTAGTCATGCTGGCCACATGACCTGGAAGCTGTACGCCGGCTCCCTCAGCCAATAAAGTGAGATGAGCACCGCAACCCCAGAGTCGGCCACGACTGGACCTAATGGTCAGGGGTCCCTTTACCTTTTTAATATAACAGCACAGTATGTTATCAACACATCCAATAGTCCATCTTTTAAAAGCATTGGGTCTTTGAGGTGCATATGTGGAACAGAGGCTCATTTAATTTCTAAAAATAAGAGCCATTCAGTATACAGAACCAGTGAGTTGACCACGTGCACCTATAAGCTCCTGGTTGGAAAATCCAGTCCTTCCGACACACAGTTGTGGTGTATTTCAGATATTCATTGCTCTGTACATGAAATAGAATTATCGTGCCTGAAATATTTTGGATTTCACTGAACCTCCTGGTTCTACCATTAACTTTCTATGGGGGGGGGGGGGAATCCTAAATGTGTACAATTTTCAGGGCCAGCCCAAAGCGTGTTGTTGCCAGAAAATGCAAATGGCAGTCTCCACCTACAAATGCTAATTAAGCTGGGACACAGTTTGCTGGGAAGTTCTCCTGTGCAGTTATCAGCTGTGTTAATAATCTGACTTTGCCACGGTTGATGGGTCTAGTTCATGGGTAGGCAAACTAAGGCCCGGGGGCCGGATCCAGCCCAATCACTTTCTAAATCCGGCCCACGGATGGTCCAGAAATCAGCGTGTTTTTATATGAGTAGAATGTGTCCTTTTATTTAAAATACATCTCTGGGTGACTTGTGGAGCATAGGAATTTGTTCATTTCCCCCCAAAAAATATAGTCCGGCCCCCCACAAGGTTTGAGGGACAGTGGACCGGCCCCCTGCTGAAAAAGTTTGCTGACCCCTGGTCTAGTTCTTTTTTAATCATGTGTCTTGGGGCCTGACTCTGGGAACAGGGAGATGTGGCAGTAGGGACTGGACTAAGCAGTTAAGGAGAAGAGGCCAGAAAATGCAAAGTGCCTCTTCTTCCTGCCCTTCTTCCAACCAAGCTAATCCAGGTTGTTCTGTCAATGAGCCATTACATCTCTGTTTGCTGTTGCTTGATGTTAGGGTGGTACATTGAAAAGCAAATTTATTCTGGGACTTGATCCTAAATGAGGACGTTGCTCTGGCCTGCACTGCTGAGATCTAAGAAGACAGAAGTCTGTCTCAGCAGTATTGTCACCCCAAATTCTACATGAGATTCTGCTGAGATTCTCTCTCCAAGCTCTTTGTCTAGCAATGTTATACTTGGTAGTGGGTACATGGAGTGATTGGGGATTTTGTTGACACCCCACCCAGCTGCCTAACAACCTCCTTTTCTGCACTGGTTCAAAACTCAGAAAAATGTGTTTGACTAGAGAGAATGTATCCTGTTCCGTTAGGGCTCCAGATTCACAGGTGAAGTGGACACAGGCTGATTTTATCTCCTCTGGGCAGGCCCTCGGGTTGAGTCAAGTCACACACATCAGGTCAAGGAGGGTCAATTACAGATCTGAGAATTCAGGACCATGGATAGGTCCCAATGGGACCAGCTGCCTTGAATTCTTGCCCTGTACAGTACTGCAGCTGTCTTCTTCTTCTTTCTTCTTTGGCGATCACTTGTAGCCGAGTAAGATTGTCTTCCATAAACACGGTTTTAACAATGAGTCCGTAAGTGACTGTGGAGGCCAATTCTGGACCCACACGTCCTTCCACAGTGGGGACATTGGTTCCCAGGCAGGAGTTGATCATGGTGTGGATTTGCCAAGCGTGCCTTCCTCTTAGCATGTTTCTCCCTTACGTTCTGAGTCTGAGTGTCTTCAAAGTCCATGACACCTTTGGTAAAGGCTGTTCTCCAACTGGAGCGCTCGCAGGCCAGTGTTTCCCAGTTGTCGGTGTTTATACTACTTTTTTTTAGATTTGCCTTGAGACAGTCTTTAAACCTCTTTTGTTGACCACCAGCATTACACTTTCCATTTTTAAGTTGGGAATAGAATAGTTGCTTTGGAAGACGATCATCAGGCATCAGCACAACATGACCAGTCCAACGAAGTTGATGTTGAAGAATCATTGCTTCAACACTGGTGATCTTTGCTTCATCTGGTACACTGATATTAGTTTGCCTGTCTTCCCAAGTGATGTGTAAGATTTCTTGGAGACACCATTGATGGAATCTTTCAAGAAGTTGGAGATGGTGTTTGTAATTGGTCCATGTTTCACAAGCATACAGTAAAGTTGGTAGTACAATAGCTTTGTAAACAAGCATTTTGGTTTCCCTGCGAATGTCCTGGTCCTCAAATACACTGCACTTCAATCGGGAGAAAGCTGCACTTGCAGAGCTCAGGCAATGCTGGATTTCGGCATCAATGTTGACCCTTGTGGAAAGATAACTCAGCAGAGAACTGAAGCTATCTGAAGACTTATGTAGGCTGACAAGGCCTGTTCTATAGAGAATGCCTGTGCTATAAGAAGGTACCCCTGGATGGAGAAGTCAGTACCTCCTCCTATAGCTGTTAAGCCCAACCAAACTTTTTTTAAAAAAATAATATTTATTAAGATTTGAAAGGTTACAAAAAGAAAAAATAGAAAACAGCATACTAAGCAAAAACAGAACATCACCCCACAATAAAAAAGGGAAAAAAGAAAGAAAAAAAGGGAAAAAAGAAAGAAAAAACACAATGAAACTTCCCATAACTTATCTTTCAATTAGCTATTTCAGCAAGTCCTTTCCATCTTTTCCAGTTTATGTCCTCTATTTTATCTTAATATAATGTAACTTTACTTTCCCTCCTTTCACCATTTAACAATCTGTTTTTTTTTCTTAATCCTTTACAGCATCTCTGCTAAAACCACATTACTTCATTCCAACATCCTTCTAATATTCCTTAATTTTACAATGTTTCTGTAAGTAAACTTTAAATTTCTTCCAATCTTCTTCCACCAGCTCTTCTCCCTGGTCTCGGATTCTGCCAGTCATTTCCGCCAGTTCCATGTAGTAAATCACCTTCATCTGCCATTCTTTCCGGGTGGGTAGATCTTGTGTCTTCCAATACTTCGCGATGAGTATTCTTGCTGCTGTTGTGGCATACATAAAGAAAGTTCTATCCTTTTTTGGCACCAGTTGGCCGACCATGCCCAGGAGAAAGGCCTCTGGTTTCTTCAGGAAGGTATATTTAAATACCTTTTTCATTTCATTATAAATCATCTCCCAGAATGTCTTAATCCTTGGGCACGTCCACCAAAGGTGAAAAAATGTACCTTCAGTCTCTTTACATTTCCAACATTTATTATCGGGCAAGTGATATATTTTTGTAAGCTTGACTGGTGTCATGTACCACCTGTAGATCATTTTAATTATATTCTCTCTTAGGGCATTACATGCCGTAAACTTCATACCTGTGGTCCATAACTGTTCCCAGTCAGCCATCATAATATTATGTCCTACATCTTGTGCCCATTTAATCATAGTTGATTTCACCGTTTCATCCTGAGTATTCCATTTCAACAGCAAGTTATACATTCTTGACAAGTTCTTAATTTTGGGATCTAACAGTTCTGTTTCCAATTTTGATTTTTCCACCTGGAAGCCAATTTTTTTATCCAAATTGTACACCTCCATTATTTGATAATAATGGAGCCAGTCTCGCACTCTATTTTTTAGTTTTTCAAAACTCTGCAATTTTAGTCTGTCTCCCTCTTGTTCCAAAATTTCCCAATATTTCGGCCAATTGGCCTCCATATTGAGCTTTTTCTGAGCCTTCGCTTCCATTGGTGACAGCCACCTTGGGGTTTTATTTTCAAGCAAGTCCTTATATCTTATCCAGACATTAAACAGTGCTTTTCTGACAATATGGATCTTAAACGCTTTATGTGCTTTAACCTTATCATACCACAAATATGCATGCCACCCAAATACATTGTTAAAACCTTCTAGGTCCAGCACGTCAGTATTTTCAAGAAGCAGCCATTCTCTCAGCCAGCAAAACGCGGCTGATTCATAATAAAGTTTAAAGTCTGGCAGGGCAAATCCACCTCTTTCTTTAGCATCGGTTAATATCTTAAATTTTATTCGAGGCTTCTTGCCCTGCCAGACAAATCTAGAAATATCTCTCTGCCACTTCTTGAAGCAATCCATTTTATCCAAAATTTGCAATGTTTGGAACTAAGCCCAACCAAACTTTACAATTTAATATCCCAATGTTCATGTTATAGAATCATAGAACTGTAGAGTTGGGAGGGACCCTGAGGATCATCTAGTCCAACCCCCTGCAATGCAGGAATATGCAGGGATTGAACCTGCGACCTTGGTGTTATCAGCACCATGCTCTAACCAACTGAGCTATCGACTCTTCCTTAGGCTGAACGTTAACATTATAGGTACATCTTCTAGCAGGGATGTGGGGAGCGGTGGGGATGTTCTGCTAGAGGGTCAGTGTTCAAACTTAGGGTGAGTGTGTCAGGAGTAAGGAGGGAGCTAATAGTAGGGCTGGCATCCCTGATAAATGCTTAAGATAAGGAAGGGGGCTTCAGTTTTTCCTAAAGCTTTTAAATAGAAATAAATAGAAATAGAAGGAGAACCTAAAAATGTGGGGAGGGCGGGGGCACACCCCCTCAGGTTGCTTGTAATTTGAGCCTGGCGTCTGCTGCCCCAATGTGGTTTGAAGATGTTGCACTGCTAAGCCTCCATATGTGTGCAATCAAAAGAGCCTTTGTTTCAAGATAAGTTTATTTCAAAATGGAAATTAAGCCTTTGTAATTCAAACTAACCTTAAAAACATATTCCTGACTGTGTGGGGAAGAACATAGAAAAGGGGGAAGGCAATTAAGCAGTCAGTCGTATTTTTATTTAGGCTTTTACCTCCGGGTAAGTGTTACAGTCTGCTATGAACCAGGAGGGGTTGTGAGTTGTTGGTTTCAGATAATGCTGCTGTAGGAGCAATCCAAAGCCAATCACACAAACATATTTTTTCTTCCGTGAAGGAAAACGTTCCATTCAATGAGCATTCCTTGTTATTCACATGCGGAATTTCCTTACACATTAAGAAGGAGGCACCGCTGTTTCAGAGTCTACACTCATCCAGTTTTGCGCTAAACTGTGTCTGAGTCCAGTAGTGTTTTATTGCTGTTTGGTACACCAGAGTTCAGGGACACGGGTGGCGCTGTGGGTTAAACCACAGAGCCTAGGACTTGCCGATCAGAAGGTCGGCAGTTCGAATCCCCTCGACGGGGTGAGCTCCCGTTGCTCAGTCCCTGCTCCTGCCAACCTAGCAGTTCAAAAGCATGTCAAAGTGCAAGTACATAAATAGGTACCGCTCCGGCGGGAAGGTAAATGGCGTTTCCGTGCACTGCTCTGTTTCGCCAGAAGCGGCTTACTCCTGCTGGCCACATGACCCGGAAGCTGTACGCCGGCTCCCTCGGCCAATAAAGCGAGATGAGCGCCGCAACCCCAGAGTCGGTCACGACTGGACCTAATGGTCAGGGGTCCCTTTACCTTTACACCAGATTGCACAAGGTGACCCGGTCCACAAATCAGATTGCATGATCTGTCACTTTTTATACTCCACATTCTCAGTTTCTGCAGAGGGGAGGGGGAAACTTAGATTTCATTAGGCAATATTCTGAATGATCGGTTTGGACTGAACTCTTTCCCCGTTTTTTCTCCCATCAGTTGAGATCTCCTGATCAGACCCTTTTTTGAAAGTTAGGCAGGAAGATACCAGGGCAACCCTCCTTGATCACAATCATCTGCCATCTTCATTGATAACTTTTCGATACCATCTAAATCCATCTTGTGTTTTTCTCTATATAGAAAACTTTTTGTAAAATGATCTAAGTAACAGAAACTTTACTTTCTGTCGGGGTTCTTCTTCTTTTACTCTAACATGCTAGCTTTCTATGGGCAGGGGGTTTTGTTTTTCGGAATGGGGGAGCATCCAAACTCGATATATATAATGAAAAAGTGTGTGTATCTCTCACTCTCTGTGTAGATACACACACACACACAGACATATATGTGCGTGTATATATACTATAGATAGGCAAGAGAACTGAAGGTGGGTATGATCAAGTCAACTTTAATTCCAGCTCTGGGCAAAGCAGGTTTTTAAAGCACTACAGAAACTTGGAGAACTGATGGCCAGAGACAATAGGGAGATGTGTGCAACATAGGCGTTAAACAATCCATATTATTATTGTTGTTGTTGTTATTTCAAATGGAGGCCAAGGCAGTCAGCCTTCAAAACTGATGAAATAGCTTAGTCGGCAGATGCACGAGATTCTTTGATCTCAGGGCGGAAATCTTCCCGCTGCGTTGCAGAATCTCAGCCCCGGGGGGAGGGGAAGCGCGGCAGAGGCGGAGGCATGAATGACCTAGTGCGCACGCGCGGCGTCACGTGACCGCCCCCACCTTTCCAACATGGCGGCGCCCAGTGTCTCCGTCCGGGCGCTTCACCTCCTGCAGGTAACGGGGCTCAGGAAGTGCAGGGAGGGAGAAACGGCGCTCCGGGTCGCGGTCCCTTCTCGGAGGGAGCGAAAGGCGGGGTCCGAGGGGCAGCTGTCGCGTGTCCTGCCCCCATGGCTGCGTTTTCTGGCACCGGGAGCCGCTGTGGCGAAAGTGCGGTCCAGGTTGGGGGCGGTATTCTGGATTCGAATCCCGCCACGCGGCCGCGGTGCTTGCGTGGCGAAAGTGGGCGAGTCGCCGCCTTAGAGTCAGGGTGGGATAGTTGTTGTTTAGTCGTGTCCGCCTCTTCGTGACCCCATGGACCAGAGCATGCCGGGCACTCCTGTCTTCCACTGCCTCCCGCAGTTTGGTCAAACTCATGCTGGTAGCTTCGAGAAGACTGTCCAACCATCTCGTCCCTGTCATCCCCTTCTCCTTGCGCCCTCCATCTTTCCCAGCATCAGGGTCTTTTCCAGGGAGTCTTCTCTTCTCATGAGGTGGCCAAAGTATTGGAGCCTCAACTTCAGGATCTGTACTTCCAGTCAGCACTCAGGGCTGATTTCCTTCAGAATGGAGAGGTTTGATCTTCTTGCAGTCCATGGGACTCTCAAGAGTCTCCTCCAGCACCAGAATTCAAAAGCATCCATTCTTCAGTGATCAGCCTTCTTTATGGTCCAGCTCTCACTTCCATACATCACTACTGGGAAAACCAGAGCTTTTACTATACGGACCTTTGTTGGAAGGTGATGTCTCTGCTTTTTAAGATGCTGTCTAGGTTTGCCATCACCTTTCTCCCAAGGAGCAGGCGTCTTTTAATTTCGTGACTGCTGTCACCATTTGCAGTGATCATGGAGCCCAAGAAGGTAAAATCCCTCCATTTCTTCCCTTTCTATTTGCCAGGAGGTGATGGTCCCAGTGGCCATGATCTTCATTTTTTTTGATGTTGAGCGTCAGACCATATTTTGCACTCTCCTCTTTCACCCTCCTTAAAAGGTTCTTTAATTCTTCCTCACTTTCTGCCATCAAGGTTGTGTCACGTGGAAAATGAAAAGGAGTGTGTGTACCTCTATCTCTGTGTGTATAACATTTTTATACCACATTTTCCTTCCAGGGAGCTCAAGGTGGCGTACATGGCTCTCCTATTCCTTTTAATACTCACAAAAACCCTGTGAGGTAGGCTAGGTAGCTAAGAGATGGTGACTGGCCCAAAGTCATCCAGTGAACTTCATAGCTGAGTGGGGATTCAAACCCTGGTCCCCCAGGTTCCATGCTTGCAAGTCGTAAAGTGGTATACATGGTACAGAGAAAAATAAAATGTTCTCTCTCTCTCCCCCGCCCCTTAATCTACTGTGTAGAATCACAGAATTGTAGCATTGGAATGGATCCTGAAGGTCATCTGGTCCCCTGCAATGCAGGAGGAATATTTTAGCCCAAGGTGAGGCTCAAACCCATGACCCCGACATTAAGAGCCTCATGCTCTGCTGACAGGATTTTATTAATATTTTGTGTGAGGGGCTTCTGGTCTCCTGTTAGGGCCCCCCTTCCTCCCCACCCTCGGCCATGTGTAGTTGGAGCGGAGTTTCATAGACATCTATGTTAATAGAAAACTGCTCAAAGGTGGATAACCTCATTTTGTAAGCAGGGTCTCAATAATAATAATAATAATAATAATTTATTTATTTATTTATACCCTGCCCATCTGGCTGGGTTTCCCCAGCCACTCTGGGTGGCTCCCCAGCCACTTTTATCATCTGAGCAGCCCAGTACCTCCATACAACATTGCCAAGGCTTGTGATGCTAACACAGGGGTTTGAGTTCATCCCCAGAGGTGCACTCCAATGTCTCTTGAAACAGACAGATGCTAGCAATTTATTCCTGACAGTTTTTGGTAGATTGGCGATGGTGGTGGTAGTGGGAGTAGGAAGTAAGCAGTAACAACAGTTCCTTCTGACTGTTCAAAGTGTCTCCTGTATATAAGGGTGCAGTTGTGCAGGGGTTGTACTTACTAAGCAAATTACAGGGGTTTGGACTAAATGACCGCCGTGGTCCTTTCCAGTTCTACAATTCTATGATTCTGTGAAAGAACATTAAGAGCATTGCAAGAAAGAGCCCATCGTAGGGGATTTGCAAAACTAACTTTGGTGCCTGTAAGTCTAAATGCCTGAGCATCCTTTCTCTTCTTCTTGTCCATTCAACAGCTAGTGGCTGCCTGAGTACAGACTGCTAGCATTCCCTTTTCCCTCCAAGTCCTCTATCTCTCATCGGCTCACAAAACACAGGCTGCAAGGTTGCCACCTGGCTTTTTAAAAACTGCACAAACAACATCAGCCAATTTTGTGTTTTTATCTTGTATTTTTATCCTCTGAACTGCCTTGAGACCTTTGAATAAAAAATTGGTATACAAATTTAATTAATTAACAACAACAACATGGTGCTGTTTTTAATTAGTCTCAATGCCAGGGATGACTGGAGAGTATTAGGATGGCTCATTAGTGCCTCTTTTCTATCAGAGAAGTGTCTTTGGAGTGGAGATCAGAAACCCAGCTGCACTCCAGCTACCAAGCTTTACCTATTGTTTTGTTGCTTGTGGTAGCAGACAGGAAGCTTCAAAATTGGGCATTTCAGGGGCAAGGTGTTGGTGGCATTGGTTCCAAAGCTTTGCAGATACCCTGAGGGGCCTCTTACACCATACGGAAACTTATATAGAAAAAAATGACTATTTTGTCCAATATTGGCAAAAACAAGGGGCTTAATTATCCCTAACTGCAATCTTTGGGATTGCAGGTATGAGCACCAAACAAGGTTTCTGCTCTACGTTGACTGTGTCCTGAACAGGAACACACCTCTTCGTGGTTAGAATACGCTGTAATATTTTGCTGTGATTCTTCATTTGTTCCTTGTGATACGAAGCAAGTAGTTGGGTGCCTGTCGATTTGGGAGTGAAGCATCTTCTAAAAGATAAGGTAGTGGTTTCAACACAGTCAGGGGACTCCCCAGGTACCCAGAATTAGTTGGAAAAGAGAAAGAAACCCTAGCAATGGCCTAACAAGGGCTTATGAGTTTCCAGGACCTACAGAACATTGAGGGCAGCTGACCTGTGGCCTGTTGGGTGGGGGAGAGAAAGAATTAGGAAGAATAACTTTTGGTAAGTACAGTAGTACCTCGGGTTAAGTATTTAATTTGTTCTGGAGGTCCGTACTTAACCTGAAACTGTTCTTAACATGAAGCGCCACTTTAGCTAATGAGGCCTCCTGCTGCCGCTGCACCGCCGGAGCACAATTTCTGTTCTCATCCTGAAGCAAAGTTCTTAACCTGAAGCACTATTTCTGGGTTAGCGGACTCTGTAACCTGAAGCGTATGTAACCCAAGGTACCACTGTATAGTGATTCTGAAGTGAGAATTACAAGTAAAGGGATCTGTGCACCAAGGCTTTAAAAAACCTCTCCCTGCATGCTGTTTGTGGTAGTTTTAGCAGTATGTATTCAGCAGTATTCTTATTTGCCAGAAACACCCGCTACATGTGCTATAAAGTACTAAGTTTTACGAATATCAGCCAGTCACGAACATGAGTCATCTGGTACTTCGTAGCACATTGGGGGAAGAGTTTGTTTGGTGGGGTGTAGAAAAATAAATAGCCGTATCCTCCCACTCTAAACTCCTGAAACCTCCTACCCCTATGAGTCTTAAATTACAAGGTTCCTTTTTTGCAGCGGTCAATTTCTGAACAAGAGCACTCCTATTAAGGGGCTTGGAACACATTGGACACACCTTTAATTGCAGGACCCCAATCCACCTGTCTCTTTTAAATCTGAGCTTCAGTCATGTTATGCTTGTCATTGTGGAAACAAAATGGGGCCAGCCAAAAATCATGTGGTAGTTTCAGAAGACAGCTCACTTAAAGCAAAAGTGGCTTCAAAGATCCGTGAAATGTTGAATGTGTCAAATAGGGAAGGCAGTTGCTCTGCTTCAGCCCCTGACGGTATCTTAGCAGTAACTATTAGGTTGCCATTATGTTAAAAATGTTCCTCGCAGAACTTATAGGACAAGGTTTCAGCAGTGGAGGAAAGGAGTAGTGTTCAGGTTCGAGATTGGCAGATTCAAACATAAGCCTTTAGTAGTCTTGCATCCTGTTGTTGTTGTTGTTTAGTCGTGTCCGACTCTTCGTGACCCCCTGGACCAGAGCACGCCAGGCACTCCTGTCTTCCACTGTCTCCCGCAGTTTGGTCAAACTCATGCAAAGTGCAAGTAGACACTATCCAGGTATCTCGCCTCTGTCGTCCGCTGCTCCTTGTGCCTCCATCGTTCCCAGCATCAGCGGTCTTTTCAGGAGTCTTCTCGCTGAGGTGGCCACATGACCTGGAGCCTCAGCTTCACGATCTGTCCTTCCAGCCAGTGTAGTGTAGTGGTTAGAGCGGTAGTCTCGTAATCCCAGGAATCAGGTTCACGATCTCGGACCTCCACATGCAGCTACTGGGTGACCTTTGACCAGTTACTATGTTATAAATGTTCCTCAGCCGAACTCATCTGACAGAGGTTTGCAGCGGAGTGGAGGAAAGGAGAATGTAGTGCTTCGAGGCTTCTAAAGGATGTAGGCAGGATATCAAATCATAACGTCTTCTTCTTCAGTGAGCGTCTTGCATCCTAATCCCACATAAATGTGCATAGAAATGAGTCATTTATTTTTATAGGACTTAATTCCATGTAAGTGTGCCTAATCTTTCGCTCCTAGTCCTAAACACTTATTGTTAGTTTTCTCATCTACAAATATCAAGGAAACATCTGGGTTTATAGTGACGCAGTACCAAAGTGTTTGGTATTCCCCACTCTAAATCTCTTTTTCTTAGCATACCAAGCGGCTTGAAAGTAAAATGTTTATCAATGAAAATGAAATTTCTGGTGTTTCTCACACCCATGTGTAAAGCCAAAAGGGTGTTGAAGTCCTCTGTCTTCCATTGTGAAGCAGCTGCCAGGATCTAAAATAAAATATATATAAAATATTGATAAAGTTTGGTGTCCCGTTGTTTGCATAACTTCCTAGATTTCTCTGGCAAGCAGATGTTTCTGTGCTTGCATGCCTGCTGGAAAATGCTCAAATTTGGGCTTCGTCAAACATGTTGTTGGGGAAGGGAGTTTCAAAGTCACTGAAAATGAAAGCCCTAGCTAATCAAACCTTGGTGGTACAGAGGCAGTTGGCCTATTTGCTATAATGATAAGTCCCAAAGTGTTCTAGAAAGTATAGTTTAAAACAATCAGAATTGTTCATGAATGGCAGTAGGAACACAGTGTGTCCTGTTCCAGAGAATCACCCTGTTGAAAAGTGGTTGCTGCATTCTGCACTACCTTTAAGTCACTGATTCTCCAGTTTGAAAATGTTTAACAATGGGTACAGAAAAAGTGAATAAAGCTTCTGAGACATTTCTCAGAATAACTTGCCAGGGAGTATATTTCCTCCTTAAAACTTAGTTGGTTTACACTTCCAAACAGTATTTCTAGTTTCAGATATAGATGAAGTTTAATCCATTGTTAAAGATGTGCATGTAGAAGATTTTGCTGTAATTTCCAAATTATTTTGAGTGGTTTGTAGGCATGTGTAAGAAACAGATAGATGTAAGTACAGCCTTTCTGAATTTAACCAAATGTCCATTTACTGTGTAATCCTTCGCATGTTCACTCTGAAGTGCCTTTTAAAATCATTTTATCCACTGCAGGCAGCTGATGGCTTCTGGAAATCTTACATGAAGGGAGTTAAGAAATTGGAGCACCCTCCACATGCAGATACAGGCTTTATATATTTATACAGGGATAGGATTCTCTAGGCTCTATTAGGAGATTTATGTATTTTTGTGAATTCCCCTTTAGTGTGTTGGAACCCACAAACTGGGTCACACTTCTTAAGCTGGGTCTTATCAGTGGTATCACCACTATTTTAATTTGTTTGCTTGTTTAGAAGAGAAGGGCAGAAGAGAAAAGAGGAGGAAAAAAGGAGGAATGTGCAGAGGAGGGGGAGAATATTACCTAAGCATATGGTAGAATTTTGAAATGGTGCCAGGGAAATATTGGAGGTTGCTGATCTAGTATCACTTTTCCTTGTTCTTTGCTCTCGGTCTTCACAATCTGTATAAAGTGTTTTTTACATGGGTTTAAACTACTGCACTGTAATATGTGAATTGCCCTGAGCTTCTGTTGAGATTGTGTATAAAATAGGGTTTAAAATAAGCAAGAATACAAATGTTTTATAAATATTACAAATATTATTTCTATTATTATTTCCCTGACTTAATAGTGCTAATGGGTATTTGATGCAGTTAACTGACAAGTTTAAATAGATTTAACAATGCAGTCCTAAAGAAATCTACTCAAAAGTAAGTCCCATTGACTTACCGTGCAATCCTAACCTTCTATGTCAGTCCTATTGAATTCGATGGGTAAGTGGAGTTAAGATTGCAGCCTTATTCTCAGGTATAATATATGCTGAGCTTGTGTGCGTGATTTACTTGAGCTGCAGGCTGCATCCAAACCTAGTTCTACTCAGAGAAGGCCCATTGAAATGCATGGACACAACTAACTTGCATTCGTTAATTTCAGCGGGTCTGCTCTGAGTAGCACTGGCTTACAACCCCTATGTTTGCTAGCACAGCCAGACTTCACGTTCTTCAGTTCAAGGTAAGAGTTTGCACACAGGTTTCTCTCTCCCCCCCCCCCCCAACACGCTCTTTCCTTCGGTCTCCCGGCAGTTTCTCTTTGTCTGACTGATTTGGAAATTCATAACTAGCAAACCAACTAAAAACATGTGGAACTCTGTGGCTCAAATTATAGCTAAGTAACAATAAGGGGGGAGTCTAAGCATGATCCTTCTCCATTTCCTGAGTTGCTGCCGCCTCATTAATCAGGGCTCAAGTGGTATAAGCGGAGCAGCTTGCTTTGTCGCTGGCGCAGCGGCTTCTTCGTCCCCTTCCCCACCCCCTGTGTGCCTTCACAGTGGGGAAAACTAGAGAGGGAAACCATCAATCTTTCTTGTCGCACATGTCAGCAGCGATCCGCTCCTCTCTTCCTGCGTTCTTTCTCTCTCTCTCTCCTGGTCGCTTGCATACATATGAGCGTGCACACACAAACACACCTGTATTTAAAATTAGCTTTGCGGCCTTACCGTTTCCTTACCTGCTCTCTTTAAACAGATGGGTAGATCTGCAAACTGGAATCTTCTACTCCAAAGTGCAAACAAATCCAAAGAAAAGGCTTCAGAGCCAGCTAACACTGACTTAAGGTAAAGGTAAAGGTACCCCTGCCCGTACGGGCCAGTCGTGACCGACTCTAGGGTTGCGCGCTCATCTCGCTTAAGAGGCCGTGAGCCAGCGCTGTCCGAAGACACTTCTGGGTCACGTGGCCAGCGTGACAAAGCGGCATCTGGCGAGCCAGCACCAGCGCCGCACACGGAAACGCCGTTTACCTTTCCGCTATAAAGCGGTCCCTATTTATCTACTTGCACCTGGAGGTGCTTTCGAACTGCTAGGTTGACAGGAGCTGGGACCGAACGACGGGAGCTCACCCCGCCGCGGGGATTCGAACCGCCGACCATACGATCAGCAAGTCCTAGGCACTGAGGTTTTACCCACAGCGCCACCCGCGTCCCTAACACTGACTTAACTTGACACTTAACAGCAAGTGTGCCATAACTGTATTTCATAACATGATTTCAAAAAGAAAAGGAGGGAAAAGATTGGAACAATTTGTTTAATCTGCACGTTAATGGCCATATTGCTATGGCTGCCTGGTAATACTAAGGTTCTCAAAATCTGTATGTTAGATCTTTTGATTATTCCCAACTAAATTCCACACCATTTTTTAATATTGCTTATAAAGATGAATAATCAAGAAATGTGCAGAGGCAATAGTGTAGTAGTTGACACCTGTTCCACCCTCCTGTTTCTGTGCTTGTATCTACTGTGATTCAAAAATGTAAGCAGGCAAAGCTTTCTTCGTGTGGAAAAAATAGAGGGGAAACTTCAGGTGCCAAATTTCTGTGTTAGATTGTTAATAGCTCAGAAGCTGAGCCAGTTAAAAAAGCAGAGTTGGAAGCCCAGTACAAGGACTGGGAAACCATCCAGTAAAAACAACTGACGCACCACACCTGAGGACTGTCGTACAATGGAAGTGAGGCTTACTGGTGTCTTCTAGAAACACTTTTCCTCACTCTACAGAATTATGTTGTGGAGCTCATAACATATACAAGTGGAAGCTGCAACAAAATACAGTGGTACCTCTGGTTAAGAACTTAATTCGTTCTGGAGGTCCGTTCTTAACCTGAAACTGTTCTTAACGTGAAGTACCGCTTTAGCTAATGGGGCCTCCCGCTGCTGCGGTGCCACTGTGGCACAATTTCTGTTCTCATCCTGAAGCAAAGTTCTTGACCCGAGATACTCTTTCTGGGTTAGCGGAGTCTGTAACCTGAAGCGCCTGTAACCTGAGGTACCACTGTGTTGTTGTGCAGAGTGGTCAGGGTTCCAGCCAGCCAGCCAGACCACCGTTAATGATACTCCATTACATTTCTCTTCCATTCGTTTTCCATTTTCCTTTCCACATCCTCCAGTCAGCCTTCCATTCCTACCAGGTATTCTCAACCCTCCACAGTAGGCTGTTTTGCATCTCTCCCCTCTCTTTTAGGGTTCTTTTATTCTGCATATATGTACTTCTGCAAAGCTTTGAGGTTTTCCCAAGCCTGTTGATCTTGTGGGTGGCTGGTGCCGTTTTGCCTATATCACGATCTGCACTCAGATAATGTATTTGTTGCTCTTATATAGGATCTTATGCCCTTGTTTCCAGCAAAGGTTGAGGTCTTTTAAGACTGGTCACAAAACCGTACTATGCAGAATTCTGTGGTGCTAAGGGATTTTTTCTCTGGACAGAAATGGTAATTCCTGAGTGGCTGTAGTCTGAGTTGGCATCTCCTATGGCTTATATTTCTGCCCATTGGGAACTCTTGAGAAACATACTCTTTCTCTCTCTTTTTAATCCTTTACCAACTCCAGATCTTTTGAGCATGTGGCTCTGATGTCCTGACCTCAACATTTCAGTCAAGCACATTCCAGCCCTATGATTTCATGACACCAGACTGAACTCCCTGCTATGTTGCCTTCTGACTCTTGCAGGGTGAATAAACAGTGAGCGAAGCCTGTAGCAGGGCAGTGTGGCTTTTAGCACCATGATTTCAGAATTCTTATTTTTAATGAATATTATTTTAAGTTGAAATGAAACGCTTTGTGCAACTCGTATTTTATTATTAATGAGGTATCAAATCCAGAAAAATATTGTGCAATAATAACTGAAGCGTTATAAGCATTTTAAAAACCATCAGCACAAGGAAAAACTTCATTATTGCATCGTTTTGCCAAAACTATCAATAATCTACCACTTATATTCCCCTCATTACACAATTGTAATGGGGCGATTTGTTAATCTGTTTATATTTCTTTCCTGCATGATTCATTTTATCTCCCCCGTGCTATAGCATGTGTCAAACACTTTAATATTTAAAATGTGCCACCCGTATTTGTAATTTAAAGTTAAGTTTTGAATCCAGTTCCATCAATTTTGTCACTAGCTACTCTGACCATTGGGAGTTAATGTGGTATTGCTCTTTTTGAAATACACAACCTGTTTATTGAATTCCACTACTTGAACCTCTGAGGCTGGAGTTTATGCCCACTCACCTGAAAGTACGCAGAGAAATCTGAGTAGACACGTGTAGGATTGCACTGTTAATCAGACAGTATGTCATTCAAGCTCTTGGCTCCCGTTTGATGAATGGTTACTCTATAAAAAAAACCCCACTGCTTTATCACTGCCATTTATTTTTCTAAGAGGCTTTCATTATCTACTGACATAATATTTTGTTAACATTTTGTGGATATAACAAAGTTATTTCTTAGCTTATGCTTTCTTTTATCCTTATAAAGTTTTATCTACAGTCAGATAACAGTACAGTTGTACTGTGTTGGAGCATATGTAATTTCCTTCATCCGTATCCAATTTGAGCTCAGTATTTTTATAAAGGATATAGCGGGTTTGTGGGAAGATGAGGCACCTTGGATACAGATGTATTGTAAATATCATGCGTGTTCCCACTTGGGCTTATGAGCTTTCTCTGCTACAGCTCTTAATGACTGAATGAGTGAATTGTTTCTCCGATGCAGAGAGTCGGGGCCGAGATAGCGATGGTTATCTGGAGGACATTATAGTGAAAATAAAATTCTCAGTTAGAATCCCTAATAGTAACTTCACCTCTTCCCAGCTGTAAACATCAGCACATGGAAAATATTTTAAATAAAAATTATTTCCAGTTGATTACAGGGTATTGTTGTTGGAGTGTTTGAAGTGGAATAGACCAGACTCTGGCAAGCTTAGGATGGAAGAAAGCAAATGTTCTAATTTAGCTAAACTGTGCATATGTAATTCTTTTAATCTCTCTTCCCCCTCAACAACAACAACAAAATTAGTTGTTTCCAGGCATTTAATCATTTCAGTTGTTTCTCTATGAACTCACTCTAAGCGATATATTTTTGTTATTGCTGAAGTATCCCTAATGGGTCACGGTATTCGAGGTGTAGTGTTTGATTGTGCACTTAATGTGATCACTCCTTTTCCGCTTCACATCATACTCCACCTTTAATTAGCAAATTGCAAGTGTTCTGCATGTTAAGGAAACCTTGCTGTTTTCTTCAAGATAGCAGGTTTCCCTTTAAAAAACAAAGCAAAAAACCACCCAGCATTTTTCTGGTGGGAAAGAGGGCATGTGTCTACCACACAAAGCTGCCTTTTACTGAGTCAGGCTATTGATTCATCAAGTTCAGCGATGTCTCTTCTGACCGTTACTGACTATCCAGGGTCTCTGTCAGAGGGTCTCTCCCTGCCTCTTCTCTCTTTGATTCTGTGACCCTTTTAACTGGAGATATCTGGGACTGAACCAGCATCTTCTGAATGCAAAGTGTGTGTGCTTTGCTGCTGAACCACAGCCGCTCCAGCAACTGCCCACTACTCCGCATGGCAGATTACTTCTGAAACTGGGAGGGTTTCAAAAGCTGCTGGTGGCATGGCATAAGAACTTGCATTTACAAAGTAAATATGAATTTGATGGTGTGTCCTGAGGCACCTCTTAAGGGTAGGATTATGAGCAGAATCAAGGGTACCCTCTTTTCGTAGCATCAAGTAAAATAACGTCTTTTTCCATGTATAAGACTAGGTTTCCCCCCCAAAAAATAATGTCCAAAATTAGGAGGCGTCTTATACATAGATAGTGCCAAGGGTGGATTTTCTTAAATCTGAGTCTCTCAAAATTTTTTCGTCTTATAGACGAAAAAATACGGTATGCCCTCTGTCCTGATATAATTTGTGCTTTTTTCCACTCCTATTCCACAACATTGGCTGCCACATATGGGGAATGCAACACAGCAGGGTGATGATGTTAGACAAATGTGGGGAATTTTTTTTTACTATCCATTACGGAGGAGGTGAATATGACACTGGGGTGCAGTTTTGTGTATCAGCCCTTTTGTTTTTGGAGAAACGGTCTTGGAAGAAGAAGTCTTGCATTTGAACATGAGCTTTGGTTAACAATTGAAAGCGGAAAGTAAAGTTAAATGGGCCACCCAGAAAGTTGCTTTCCTTTTTAGAGATCAATCTGTCAGAGCTCACTTATGATTGATGATTTAAGCGGATTCTTAAAAAAGACGAATACCAAGTTATATCTCGGGGTTTGGTTTTGCTTTTTATATATATAAATAAAAAACCCACCTTACTGAATAATGTAACTGTCTGGACAGCTATACTTTAGAGTTTCCTTCTTGAGTTAACAAGAATATTTGTCTCCCGTGGGAATAAGGGAGATGGTGAATATCCGAAAAACATTCTGGCATACAGAGAAAGGGAGGACTAGCAAAAAGAAATTGAATAACCAGAGCTGGAAATAACGATACTGCCATTACAGTTTTTTGAGGACATGACAACATTCTTTCTTGAGCGTCAACTATTTTCTATGAAGGTTTTAGCCGAACAATCTCTTCAGCTGTTTTTGAAGTGTATAACCTGATACGGTGAATTCTTACTCAGAAGAAATTTCCACTGTGTTCAGCAAGGATTACACACAAGTAACCAGGCTTAGATTTGCAGTCTTTGAATAGCAGTACATAACTGGTATTGTAGCAAACTTCCAGTCTTCCACTGAGAAACAGCAGTGGTTTATATTCTTTATAGTTAAGCCTTGCAATTTTGTTTCTGTTCCCACCAGTCCAGCAGTTGGTTTAACAAAAACACAAATCTTCACCACGTAAAGCTGACTGGGAGGTTGTTGTTTTTTTAAAAAAATGTTTTTTAAAAAAACCATAATGTGCAAGTTGTTACAGTGCTGTCATGATGTTTTACAATATAATAAAAGTTAAAAAAAATAAATTAGGATGCTGATCAAGGAACTTACAGTCTAAATTTAGAGGGAGGGGTTACGCAGGTAAACAAGATACAGAAATAAGCAAGTACAGATGCACTTAATAAGGCTTTGTTTCAGTTGGTGATGAGGGTTGTGGGTTCCAGTAAAAGACTATTTGGGGGAAGAAGTGTGCAGGATTAAGAGGTGGCCCATCCACACTATAAATCTGTATCACTTGTAAATCACTTATTTTTATTTTGTGCTTGCACAAACCATTGACATTTTTATTAACCACTTGCACATCACTAAAAGGTAGATTGCCAAAATCCCCAGCAATTTTCAACTGTTTGTCTATTATTATTATTATTATTATTATTATTATTAGGGATGTGGGTGGTGCTGTGGGTTAAACCACAGAGCCTAGGACTTGCCAATCAGAAGGTTGGCAGTTCAAATCCCCATGGCGGGGTGAGCTCCCGTTGCTCAGTCCCTGCTCCTGCCAACCTAGCAGTTCGAAAGCACATCAAAGTGCAAGTAGATAAATAGGTACCACTCCGGTGGGAAGGTAAACGGCGTTTCCGCGTGCTTCTCTGGTTGGCCACATGACCCGGAAGCTGTACGCCGGCTCCCTTGGCCAATAAAGCGAGATGAACGCCGCAACCCCAGAGTCAGTCACGACCCCTTTACCTTTACCTATTATTATTATTATTAATTAAAAATGACTGCATTAGAATAATATATCACAACTCTGTCAAATTGTGGAAGACTGAGCTGCTAGGGCACAATCCAATTTAAAAGCCGCGTGGTCAGAGTCCTTTTGAAATGGACAGAAGCTCATGAGCCCCCAAAGTGCTGTGACTGAGAGTAATTGTAGAGTTTACCGTATGCTCAAATATCCATATTGCCTGTATTTGTCCTATGTGTTTGCACAGAAAGTTGCAGTTATGTACCTGGGAACTTTCATATTGTTTGGTTCCCTGTGATTGTTTGCTACGCTAATGATTAATTCCATTATGGCTTGGCTCCAGAATAAAGGTCTCAAAAGGATTTTCTCTGGGATTCAACCAACCGGGATCCCTCATCTGGGAAACTACCTTGGCGCTATCACAAGCTGGGTGAAGCTACAGGAAGAATGCAGTTCCGTATTATACAGCATTGTGGACCTCCACTCCCTCACCATACCAAGGGAACCAACAGTTTTACGCACGAGCATCTTAGACGTCACTGCTGTTCTCCTTGCCTGTGGCATCAGTCCGCAGAAGTGTTTCATTTTCCAGCAATCCCAGGTCAGTATCTCCCTCTGGTATGTGCTTTAGAAGTCAAAGCCAGGTTTGGATAATTTTTGAGGATAGCTACTGCGGTCAATAGATAAATGAGATGTGAGGTTAAATCACAGAACTTAATAGTTTTGCAGAATTTCCTCCACCACCACCCACCCATCTTGTGCCCAACAGATTGTACAAAACCTGGGGTATATTATTTGATTATTGATGTAAACCTCCAAAATGTATTTTGTTTAGTTAACCTTTTACCTCTGTCCTCAGTATATTATATTTTATTTTATTTTATTTTATTTTATTTTATTTTATTTTATTTTATTTTATTTTATTTTATTTTATTTTATTTTATTGCTATGGCTAGTGGCTGATGCAAATAAAGATTCTTCTGATCTGATCTGATCTGGGGTATATGCAGGTTAGAATTTTGAAAACCGCACTGCCTTAACTGGCGAGAGGAGCCTGCCAGCTCTATTTTGAAATGAGACCTTCTGTGAGATAACTCCATTGGCTCAGTTGCTGATGAATTAACAGGATGTGTAAGGGCGTTCTGACTGCTCAGAATGTTTTGTTTCGTTTCGTTGAAAAGTCGGCATCCAGAGCTTAGGGACAGATGTTAATGGAAAGAGTGGAACAAAGTCAGCAGTACCACTGAGTGTTGATCAAATGTCTGAACAGTATGTGAGTTTGTCTGCATGAGTAGTATGTGAATGAAAAACTGAGAGAGCGAGGGAAGAGGGTATGAATGAAGAGAGGTTATTAAACACAAGAAAGCACATTGGCAAATGTGCATAACTCTCCATTTGCTAGTTTTTATTTATTTAAGTCCTTGAACACTCTTAGTTCTTAGTGTGGATTTACAGCAACCATAACAATTTCTAAGAGCTGCAAAATTAATAACTGAATGGTATGTGATTGCTTTTAAAGGGTTTTAGGTGTTCTAAATGTTGGTTTTAGGTTTTAGGTGTTCTAAATGTTAGGTGTTTTTAAATGTTTTAAATATGCGTTTTTAAAACTTTAACTCTTTTAACCTTTTAATGTTTACTGCTCTGGACTCCTTTGGGAGGAAGAATAGGGTACAAATGTAATAAATGCAATAAATAATAATCATGGTTTAAAGAACTGACCCAACACCCCTGAATAAAACCAATAAAGGATACAACTAAAATACATCAGAACAAAAACCCTGCAACATTTGATTTCATATTAAATGTATTGCGTTATAAGAGAGGGAAGGAAAGTTAACTTATATGGGACACAAAGGACTCTACTAAATGGAGAACATCTAGCCTAATTCAGCCAAAAGATGTTATACACTAGAGAATAAACAGATCAGCCAAACTGTACTGTATTGCCATAATGTTTCAAAACTTTTATTTTATTTTAGAACTTAACAATGTATTCATAATATTTACCTGTTTACAAATGTATAAGGAGAGTCCTTTGGGAGCCACTGCATTGGCACTCAGCAGCAAAAATTTTCCTCTTTCTGAGTCCAAATTAAAATTGCAAAATTGGCACACTTTCTAGGTAAAGGGTGTCACCTTCCAAAATCTAGAGAGAGATTCCAGGCATCAGGAAAATGTTAGTCGTCTTGTTTGCTCCTGTTGGCGAACATCAACCATCAGTCAATTGGCTTGATAAATGACATCACTCAGCAGCTGCAATAAGACCTTCTATTTAACTATTACTGTCATCTCCCATCTACATTGTTTTTCAGAGGCAGGCCCTGGGGGCCTCCCGATCGGGACTGCAGCTCTCCCCCCCCCCCAATAGCAATTAGTTCTAATAGAAGGCTGTTTTCAAATGTAATTGCTGCATGGGGCAAGGACGATCTTTGTGGAGATTATCTGGGGAGGGAGGACTATAGCAGATAAACAGTGTGGTGGCCTTCCAGCAGCTGAGTCACTGCTGCTTACCAGTAAGGAAAGGGGCAAGGCAGCGGGGAGCTGGGAGTGGTGCAACAGCTGCAGCCGAAACAACCTGCTGCTACTGCTGGTGCGTTTGCACCATGCTGACCTCCCTGCCAAATTGCCCCTCCCACACTCCTTCCCAATAAGCAGCAGCGACTCAGCTGTTGGGAGGTCAGGTGAGCATCACTGTGCTTTCCACTACTGTGGTAGCGTTAACCCTCGCAAGCTGCATTCTCCACAGAAATCTCCCTCACACAGCAATTGTTCTTGCAGGCGTGGGGAGTGAGAATCTGCATGTATGTGTGTTGTGTGGAAATGTAAGGATGTTTGTGAGTAAGGGAATGAACGGTCTCCGTTGTGTGTGTTAGGTGGGAGAATGCATGTGAGAATGTGTGAGATAACTGTTAGGATATTTCCGTTCCACCTTAAAAGGGAGCAGGCTTTGTGAGTCACAGAGTCTGCGTGTTTCCTGTTCACAGGAAGTTTATGTTTTGTACATTGTTTCATTTTCCTCTCTGTGCCTGAGACATCGAAGCAGGCAGTCATGTTTTCTCTTTGTTCTGACCAACGCTGAATAAATTTGTAAATATGCTCTCCTGCGTGCATCTTTCGCTGTACGAACTCTGCTGATAGAGCGTGCACAAGCCCTGGAATGTGGCAAGCTATTTCTGAAGCTCGTGTCACTAATTGACTGATACTGTATCTACGGGAGATCGATGGATCGTCCGGAATCGACGTGGGGTCATGATGGCCTTTGTCTCCCTGGCAGTATCCCAACAATAACATGGTGGGAGTGGCCCTGCCCACTTTTGCATTTGTCCCGCCCATCACTAGCACAGACCACCCCACCCCCCGAGAAGTAGGCACAAGGGAATGTGTCTCTCAGGCTGGATAAGTCTTGCCCATCCCTGACGCACAGAGCTGTGGGCCGAATGTTGAGCCTCAGTCTAGATTGAGAACTCACATGAAGCTTGATGACTGACCTCAGGCCAGAGTTGTTGGGAGGTAAAATGTATACTGCCCTGAGCATCTTGGAGGAAGGGTGAGACACACATGTTAAAATCATTCAAGGCACAGTGCATTGATTTGCTTATTTAGAAATGAGGCCAGGAAAAAAGCCACAAGGGTGGATTACAATAAACAACAAAATACAGCACCCGAACAGAAAGAAGCAGCAGAGGACAGGAAGCACTGCTCTCAAACCTCTGAATCTAAGACTGACATGAAGATATTGATTAAAATACGAGACACCCTGTCAGGGGAGAAGTTTAGGTTATACAGTCGTACCTTGAAAGTCAAACGGGAGCCAAAAGGTTTGAGAACTAAGCTGTTCGAAAACCAAGGTACGACTGTATATGCCTTTGGTTATATGCCATGGCAAATCACCATCACCTTTTCTCTTCTGTCAGGCTTTTGCAGGCAATTCTCTTTCCACAATAGTTAGCTGATTTCTGATTTTAACTTCTTAATATGGTTTTTAGTGTATGGTGCTATGTGTAATTGTTATGAACTGCTCTGATATTTTTTTAATGAATAGCAGTGTACTGTATAAATATTTTTTCACAAATGAGTAAACTTTTGTTTCATCGAGAAATAAAACAATGGCAGTTTCATGTAATAGTGTTGGATGTAAATGGAAAGGGAGACAGAGAGTTCTTTCAAGAGACTCCTCCCCAATATGTTGACAGATTAAAATTGAGGACTTCTGGAATAGCTGGATGGAGGGCTGCAGAGGAGGAGAGCAACTGCGACTGCCTTGAGTAGAAGGGAACACCTGAATCCCAGCAAAAAATATTGAAACTTTGCCCAGTAAGGGCTCTAGGGATGCAACATATTGGATGATCACATCTTTGGGGAAATCAGCTAATGGACATAGCTTGCTTCCTATGGGAAACAATAAATAGAGGGATTTGTAATGCTGATGTTCTTCCAAGTATTTTTAGCTATGCTGCAGGAAACATTTTCTGAGAAAGATAATATCTATACGGAAAACAGGCTTTTCCATCAGGAGACACGAAAGGTTCTGAGCTGCTGCATATTACGTCACTGCCACTGCCTTTTCCTAAGTTTCTAGCAAAGGTTTCATTTAGTTGGTATTCCACTAGCAGCACCTTTTGCAGTGTAGTCCCGGGCAAGTCTACTCAGAAGTAAGTCCTGCTGAGTATAATGGGATTTAGTCTCTGTGCATAGAATTGCAGTCATTGTCTAGGATTTGTCGTTGTGGAAACTGGCAAAGTGTGTGATTCGGACAAAAGAAAATCAACCACTTTTCATTCCATATGCAACCTGGACAATACTTTAGCATTTAATTCTTAGGGGCGTTGGTTTTGCCATGCTTCTGACCACTATGAAAACATCTGGCTGTTGCTGGTTGAGGATTAGCGAATTCTTGGCTGTAGATATCTTCTACGGTATGGTAAAGGATGGGCTAAAGAGAGGAAGATCCTCTAGGCAGAGGAAAGTGGAAATCATTAGTGCTGATTGCAACGTGCAGTGAACAGTTGCCAAGTTGGAAATAGAGTCCTAGTTTCAGGAAAGCCCATTAGACCACTAATCTACAAGAGTCATGGGTTAATGTGCATTAAGTACTTGTCCTGTCATGTAGAAGTAAAAAGGTTTCCCCTGAAAGATATGCCTTTGCTGCTTCCATCACCATCACATGCCAATAGCACAATGCAAACGACCCCCCTCTTCTCTCTTTTATAACCAGCCCCTCTGTTTCTGGGCCTTATACTAGCTGCATTTTGTTCTGGTGTTCAAATCTGCAAATGACATGATTAATTCTTGCCCTCCAAACCAGAATCGGAAACCATGCTTTCAAACGGGTTTCTGATTCTGGTTTGGGGGGCATATAATTCACGATGTCATGATTAACTGCAAACTCTGGCTATGCTAGCAAGGGAAAAGGGAGGTGGGAAGGAACGTCTGGTTTGTAGGGTTCCCTAAAAGTAAGTCTTTGTCAACCATGTTGATTTCTGGTCCCATTAAAAATAACTCAGCAATACTTTATCTTTCAGTGAACAATTTCAATTTTAAAAAACTTTTTCTTCTGGAGCGAAGAAAAACATAGAACATTTTGAGATTGTATACAGAAAATTGTTCTTGACAGAGGTAGAGATTTTCTCTCGTTCACTTAGTTTTCTTTGGTGGTGATAGCATGCGTGTTGTGTTTGTATTATAAACTTGCACAGTATTTGCCTTCTCTAAGATGGTCATTTTCAGAAGGTGCTATCAGTCAGTTCTGGACATTTTGAGTGTTAATTTTAGAGAGCCAGTGTGGTGTAGTGGTTAAGAGCGGTGGACTCGTAATCTGGGGAACCGGGTTCGCTTCCCCGCTCCTCCACATGCAGCTGCTGGGTGACCTTGGGCTAGTCACACTTCTCTGAAGTCTCTCAGCCCCACTCACCTCACAGAGTGTTTGTTGTGGGGGAGGAAGGGGGAGGAGATTGTTAGCCACTTTGAGACTCCTCAGGGTAGTAATAAAGCGGGATATCAAATCCAAACTACTCCTCCTCCTCTTCTTCTTCTTCTTCTTCTTCTTCTTCTTCTTCTTCTTCTTCTTCTGGCGTTTGAACAGCCATAGCTTTATGCCTCAACTTCCAGCTCAGCAGCTCTTCCTCACTCTTTTAACTTGTGAAATCCTGTGCAACCTTTGGTGCAAAGGCAGAGAGTGTGGCGCCCTCTAAACATTGTGTACTACAGCTCCCACCAGCGCCAGCATGCAGGGCTAATGGCCAGAGATGGTGTGAGTTACAGTCCACCACATTTCAAGGGAACCATTTGCATTCACAGATGAAGCTAAGCAGGTGTGGGTCTGGTCAGTATCTGGATGAGGGACCACCTTGGAGCTCCATGTATGTTGCCTTAAATTCTGCGATAGAAGAAAGCCTGGATAGGAATGCCCTAAATAAATAAATTGCTTGGGGTGGGGTGTAATCAGTAGGTCTGATTAGGAATTGTTATGTCTTCTGCCTGGAGAGTTCTCATTTAATATAAGAAACCACCAAGAATGGAAGTCATTAAAATCCTTATTAAATCAAGTGTCTTATCAGTGGGGAAAGTAGGTCTATTATTATCCCTTAACACGGCTGTGTTTATTTGGCTGATGGATTAAAATTAGAGGGGCTTTAATGTAAACCTATGCTGTCATGCCAGAGTGGTGATTGTTGCATGACCCTATAAATTGTGTCTTTTGTTGCTCTTCCTTTGATGGTCTGTGCCAGGGACTGCAACCTGCCAGCCACTGTGGGCATAATCTGGCTCGCCAAGCCTTTTTGAAAGGTCTGCCAACCCCCAACAGCTTGCTAAAGGGGCATTGGTGGTTTTGCTTCCTGAAAAAGCAGTTAGAAGGACTCAGAAAAACAGTAAGGAGCTCTCAGTTCTTCTCTGGCGTTCCCCGAGTGCTCGGCCATCTCCAATCCTTGGGAAACAATTCAGATGATTATAGTACTCCTTCCTGCTTCCTGAGCACTTTTAGTTGGACCTCAATGGTTCTCAGTGATGGTGATAGGCAGTATGGGATGGGTGGCCACACCCACTCTTTCAACAGAAACCAGTGGCATGTAGTCCCAGAGGGCAATATAATCCTTGGCCCAAAAAAGGTTAGCCACTCATTATATATACAGAGAGAGAGAGTGTTGTGTTTTTTGCAGATCAGTTTCATTTGTTGTGAGACATTAGTGTAAAAGAAAAGAACTCACTCTGAAAAGAACCTCACAATAATTTCATAATTATCTGTCTATGTATTTCTAATAGTATAACCAAATCAGTAATTTTTGATATAACTGTAAAAACTACTCTGAAAATTTATTATTCCAAAAACAAAACCTTCATCTGATTGTATATATTAAGATTATACCAGCAAGAATGAGTCTTTCTGTAAAAAAAAAAAATTAATCAAGTCTTACTGACTAGTGATTTAAATCAATTTGATTTAAATCAAATCTACCCTGGAGAAAAGTGTAAAGGTACTTTTGCTATAATAGAATCATTTGAAGTTCGCTTCCTCCTCCCCCAAGTCAAGCACAGAATCTCTTAGCTTTTCTTTCCTTCTTTAGCATCACATGCTGGAAACCAACAGTTCTTTTAGAGAGAATTGAAGGTGGTCAAGAAAAGCCCCACTGCGCCACTGTTGTTCTGGCTTTGCCAATATTTGAAGCGCTAACAAAAACCTGCAGAATCTATGGACAAATAGGGCATTGAATGGGTGTGTGCACACCAGAGGCACAGTCTTCAGCTGTTTTTTAAGTATAGTCGGTCTCCAGTACTACTGTCTGTTCCTTAATAAGTGTGAAACATCCATTCACTTGGCCTCTGCCAACCCCTTCACGTTTTCTAGGATGAAGTGATAAACTGCTCCAGTTTGAGTTCTATATTTCGCGTGGACCAGCCATCCACAAGTGATGCGCTGTCCTTCTACAATGTGTTAATGTTAGCATTACCTAATGCATTGTGTGTGTTCAGAGAGAGAGAGAGAGAGAGAGAGAGAGAGAGAGAGAGAGAATGATGCAGTTGTTCCAACCATATTTGGACCTGTTGCATTTGAGAGCAGCATTCTGGTTAACTCTGGTGGGCTAAAATGCAATTTCACAGTTCCTCTTCAAGCTGAGAAAATATGCTTTGCCTGTTCCTTAGGGTAAAGAGATGGAGGCCTTTGTACAATTATGAGTCAGACAATGACTGAGAATTAAGGAACTGGGCTTTCAAGGCAGGTGTTTATCCTCCGCCTCTCGCTTTCACTGTGTAGTAGATTTCTTGGCTCTAAAATTTTGAAGCACTGGGCTGTCCTGGAGAAAATGCAACACATTTGACTGTCTCTAGTGAGGGCCACTGCGTAGAATCATAGAATTGTAGGGCTGGAAAGGATCCCAACCAACAGGAAAAAGAGTGTGTATGGGAGACACTTACTTACACTCTCTTTCTCTGTAATTTTTTAATTAAATTTTATGTTTTACAATTTAAAATATTCATTTTACATCCTTAAGATATCAATGACTTTTCTTCTTCTCTTTCCATGGTTCATTTTACATATCATAAATCCATGCATGTTTTACAAAAACTATACAGTATTTCATTATTGCATCCATCAAAACTTATTTACACTGTTGAATTTATCTTAATGCTGCTAGCGTTTTCAGCTGTACACAATTATTTCCCGTATATTCAATAAACGTTTTCCAACCTTCTTTAAACATATGTTCTTCTTATTCTCTTATTCTAGATGTTCAGTCTGCGAGTTGTGCGTATTCTGTTAACTTAAGTTGCCATTCTTCTTTGGTTGGGACCTCGCTTGTTTTCCATTTTGGGGCTAACCAAACACGAGCTGCAGTAGTAGCATACATAAATAACCTTTTTTGACACCTGGGAATTTCAGTCTGGATTATCCCCAACAGAAAGGACTCTGGGGGTTTTTTGGAAAGTACTTTTAAACATTTTCCCCCAATTCATTATGGATCATTTCCCGATACTCTTTTACAAGTCCACCACATATGGGGAGACACTTGCTCTTTGTCTTCTCCATGTGCTCATGTTGAGAGCCCCATTTTCTTTGTCTTCCTTCCTTTTCCACTCTGTCTATTGTGTCAGAAACCTGATTCATTCACACCCTCAGTGTGCTGCTGCAACAACCCCAGCTTCATTTGGCCTGGAAGTGAAAGAAGAAGAAGAGTTTGGATTTGATATCCCGCTTTATCACTACCCTAAGGAGTCTCAAAGCGGCTAACATTCTCCTTTCCCTTCTTCCCCCACAACAAACACTCTGTGAGGTGAGTGGGGCTGAGAGACTTCAGAGAAGTGTGACTGGCCCAAGGTCACCCAGCAGCTGCATGTGGAGGAGCGGAGACGCAAACCCGGTTCCCCAGGTTACGAGACTACCGCTCTTAACCACTACACCACACTGGCTCTCAAAAGAAAGCGGATGTGTCATTCTCACCAGCTCTTATCCCCCATGGATCTTCTTAGCACAGATCTGTACAGAAGTAGTTGTATAATAACTTTAGTGTGGTGCTTCAAACGACCTTATTTTTAATAGCTTATAAGCTACTTATAGGGATGCGGGTGGTGCTGTGGGTTAAACCACAGAGCCTAGGACTTGCCGATCTGAAGGTCGGCGGTTCGAATCCCCGCGACGGGGTGAGCTCCCATTGCTCGGTCCCTGCTCCTGCCAACCTAGCAGTTCGAAAGCACGTCAAAGTGCAAGTAGATAAATAGGTACCGCTCTGGCGGGAAGGTAAACGGCATTTCCGTGCCCTGCTTTGGTTCACCAGAAGTGGTGTAGTCATGCTGGCCACATGACCCAGAAGCTGTACACCAGCTCCCTCGGCCAATAAAGCGAGATGAGCGCCGCGACCCCAGAGTTGGTCACAACTGGACCTAATGGTCAGGGGTCCCTTTACCTTAACTTTATGCTACTTATGGGAAGGGTAAGTCTCCCAGTCAACCCCTGGCACCTCCAGATCAAAACAGGTAGTATCCTTGGGAAAGACACCTGCTTAAGATGTTGGAGAACTGCTTCTGGTCTGAGTAAACAGCATTGGGCTAAATGGATGAAGGGCTTGATTCAGATGTCACACATTGAGCAGGGTGTGAGTGTTGAACAAGCTGTAGATCTGCGCATGCTCATTCCCTCTTCCACTTCCTGGTTTGCTGTAAGTGTAGTTGATGGTCCAACACAAGCAAACTGGTTATCTGTCACAGGAGTGACAGATCACACAGTTCAAGGATGGAGTTAACTCTTTCACCGCCTCCTCCTCACAGCTTTTTCCAAGCAATCAGAGACTGCGCCTGCATAAAGCCAACCTCTCCTCCATCCATTTCTTGCCTCTTCTGGTTCTGGGAGATGTGGGGAGGGCAGCTTGTTGCAGCTGGAGGGGGAGACACCCATGACTCTTTGCCAGCCTGTCTCATCTCTGCCTCTTGGCCTCCCTCATTCCATTCTACTGCTTCAGCTTCTGATTCTGATTCTGGACCGCTCTCTGCCACAGACTCTCCCCGCTCACTAAGCCCTATTACCTGTTCAACTTCTGACACCTCCTATTCCCAGTCTTTTCCCTGTGACCACTCATCGTTCCCCACCACCACTCCCCAAGGTCTAAGCCTTCTTTCCTTCCTAGTTCACCTGCTGGTTCCTCCCATCATTCCTCACCCAACCAGTCCATGACATTATCATAAAAAGACAGCTCTATATGTTCATAAACATGCTGTCTTTGTTTGAAAGTGGGGACTGCTACTGGGGCTGTGCTTTTGTGAAAACCCTTTGCACCTAATTAATTGCCTTTCTGATTTGTTTCAGGTGCCTGAGCATGCAGAGCTCGCCTGGATTCTGGGATGTCTCACAAGCATGCCACGCCTGCAGCACTTTCCGCAATGGAAGGTGAGGTTTCTGTGAGCCTCTCTTACTTTAGTTGGAGGTGGGTTATCCCTGTTCAGCTGTTACATAGGTGAAGCCTTTAGGCCTGCCCTTGTCATTGCCTGGCTTCTGCCATCTTTTGTGCTCATTGTAGCTGTCCTCAAATAAAAAATAAAAGTATTAAGCCTTTATGTGTCTTCTTTTTCTTCACATAAATAGGTGAAGAATGCCAGCCAAATGAATGAAGGAACAGTTGGTCTGTTCACCTATCCTGTTCTTCAAGCCGCAGATATTCTCCTCTACAAGTAAGCGTCAGAATGCACAGCTCCATAACTTGTAAATGAAGGCCACTGTGATATAACCAAGGGGACTGAATAGTTCAGGTCAGGAGTGGGTGGCTTTTGAGCAACCTAGTTGTGGTGAGATTGTCCTTTCATTCTGTAGTGAATCAGTGGCCCTTTCTCACTGACAGGTTATCTGGTGGACATTATGATTGTAGCTAATCTGTCATTGACAATCCATGAATAACCTGCTAAATCTAGCGGTTTACTTCAGCTATGGTGTTGTGTTTGTTTCTGACTCAGTTTGAGTGAGCAGATGTGAACCATCTCTCTCTCCCACACAACATTTCTATTTTTCTGTTTCTGTTGGAAGGTCAACCCATGTTCCTGTGGGAGAAGATCAAGTCCTGCACTTGGAGCTGACCCAGGATACGGCTCGACGCTTCAACAAAAAATACGGAGAATTATTTCCAGTGCCCACAGCCATTCTAAGTGAGTACGGTACAAATGACTGCCTGTTGAGTAAAGTGAATCGGCTTGGGGAGTTTTCGCAGAAGAAAGAGAAGAGTGGAGATAGCCAGGTGCCAAAGTAAAGGCGTACAAAGGGAAACAGAGGCTGTCAAATGCAGCTTTTGAAAAAGTATGGCATGTGTTTCATCTTTGCTATTCCAGTACTAGGTGTTGCCCCGACCTCTTTTCCTATCCTTTTCAGCAGTCCTCTAGAATACAGTCGTACCTCGGAAGTCGAATGGAATCCATTCTGGAAGTCCGTTCGACTTCCAAAATGTTTGGAAACCGAGGTGTGGCTTCCGATTGGCTTCGGGAAGCTCCTGCCGCCAATTGGAAACCGTGTTGGACATTTAGGTTCCCAAGAATGCTCACAAACGGGAGCACTGACCTCTGGGTTTGCGGCATTTGGGAGCCAAAGCGTCCTACTCACAAGGCGTCTGTCAACCAAGGTACGACTGTATTATGCATTTCGCTGTGCCCATAGCATCTTCCAGACATGAAAATGGGCTTTCATATGTAAAAACAGGGATGCCTAATAAAACAGTTTTCTGTAGGGAAGGAGGAGGTTGGTTAGCTTAATACTTTGTTCTAGGGAAGGCTCAGTTCTGTGGGGCTCGAATCCATGAACCTGAGCTGTTTGTATAGGTCAATAGTATTATCCCTATAATGCAGACTGGAGGTGAAAGGCTGAGGCTTAGAGAGAGCAGCTTGTCTGAGGCCACCTAGTGAACCATAGCAGAGTTGAGATTAGAACCCGGGACTTCCCGATATGTCGATTAGCCTCGTAGTCACTCTGTTGCGGAGCTCTCTTCTGTAATTGCATTTTCTCTTGATTTTAGCGGAATCAAAGAAGATCAAGTCACTCAGAGATCCCACATCCAAGATGTCCAAATCAGACCCTCAGAAGTTCGCCACGGTGAACATAACAGACAGCCCCGAGGAGATAATGCTGAAATTTCGTAAGGCTGTCACAGACTTCACCTCTGAGGTGACCTATGACCCTGCTCACCGCCCTGGCGTCTCCAACCTGGTCGCTATTCACTCTGCTATAACAGGACTCAGCACGGAGGAGGTGGTACGTCAGAGTACTGGCCTTGATACAGCTCACTACAAGGCAGTGGTAGCAGAGGCAGTCACTGAGAAACTTGCACCAATTAGGAGTGAATTTGTGAGGCTAAAAGAAGACAGATCTTACCTGGAGAAGGTTTTATGGACAGGGGCAGAGAAAGCCAAAGAGCTTGCAGCCCCCGTATATTCAGAAATCAAAAGACTGGTGGGATTGCATTAACCTCAAGGAAAAGCAGCTCATGCCTTTCATAATCTGAGTTCAGCCTTGGTTACCTTGACTCCTCTGTATTACTAGAGGTCCTCTGTGTTTTTGGATCCATGAGTAACCGAATCATTACCTCAGGCACATTAAATGGACCAGGCTTGGAAATTGCAAAGAGCCAAATAAGCAGACATCTGAGCTAAAGAATGCTTTTCTCCCTGCCTCTGCCCAAAAAAAGATTTGAGCTGATGAAAAAAAACCAAATCCTTTCTGCATAAGAAATGCAGCTTTTCTGTGACCTGTTTGTTTTCTGGAAGGGACCTGTGCAAATTTCAGCCTTTGGTACATGCCCAGCCAAAGCCTGTATAGACTCCTCCGTAATTCCTCTGTGAACCTGAACGCTGTTGATCAGAGTGTCTGTGGGACAAGTGTCATCCCTTACCACGGGCTCTGGCTGGTCCCTCTGGCAGTCTTGAGATGTTTTCTCACATTGCATTTTGTACTTAAGTATAGATAGGTGGGCACAAAATGCATTCCATCTCTGTGTTACAAGATGCATCGATGGAGGAAATGCCATTCATCCCTATGTACACAAAATACACTGCTCCCATCCCAAAATACACTAGGAAAGGATCGGCTCCAGGCTTTGGCATGTTTGATAAGGGAAGGTTGAGGTTTCACGTGTGTGCCCTCAACGGAAATAGCGGGCACATTTTTTGTACTTCTGTATCAGTACCAAATGTACATAAGAATGGATTTTTGCACTCCGTAAACTGCTCACCAACTGAATTCCTGCATCTTTCCAGGTTGTGTTTGTGACTTTAGTTGAAAAGCAGTTTATCCAGTGCAAGGGAGAGATGATCTAGCCTGGCAGCAGAGTCACTGGCTTGTTGCTGTGTTTTCACACGTAACAAAGTTGTTCCCAAGCAGGACAGAACATGTGGACAAAAGACCACAGTCCCAGAAAAGTGTAGTGTTTACTGAGTTCACATGTGGCACCATCAACCTTGGGTCTCATTCTCCACCCTTTGCACTCGGATCCTCTCATTTACAGTGCTGGGTGGATGTGTGAGCACCCTCGAAGACCCAGAGAAAATGAGAAATGAAGTTGCCCCAGCTTCTCCCTCTGCTGGTTTGTCTATCTGTCTGCTCCCATCCTACTCTAATGTAGGTGGGTAAAATGTAGAGTCCTGCTCATGACTGTAGGACAAATGGAAGCAGTAGGGGAAGGGACAGGTAGGAGAATCTGTGGCCTCTCAGAAGAACCCAAAGCAGCAGCCACTCTTTCTCCACCAGAGGCACCTCCTCACTCAGGTGCTGGCCTGAGCAGGATGCATCTCACCCCTCTAAATGGAGGCACCTCCAAGCCTTGCTCCAGAGTCTCCAGCAGCCTGTTTTTTGTGCAGCCTTGAGATGTGGTTTTGCTTCTCCTATGAGCCGCTACCGCTGTGGTCTAAACCACAGAGCCTAGGGCTTTGCCGATCAGAAGGTCGGCGGTTTGAATCCCCGCAATGTGGTGAGCTCCTGTTGCTCTGTCCCAGCTCCTGCCAACCTAGCATTTCGAAAGCACGTCAAAGTGCAAGTAGATAAATAGGTACCGCTCCAGTGGGAAGGTAAATGGCGTTTCCATGTGCTGCTCTGGTTCGCCAGAAGTGGCTTCGTCATGCTGGCCACATGACCCGGAAGCTGTCTGCAGCCCTCGGCCTATAGAGCGAGATGAGCGCGCAACCCCAGAGTTGTCCGTGACTGGACCTAATGGTCAGGGGTACCTTTACCTTTACCTTATGAGCTGCTACATGCTAGGAGCCTGTAGGAAGATTGGGCTGCTGGGTGCCTTAAGGCCCCTTTTCTCAACCTGGTGCCCTCTAAATATTTGGGTGAATCAATCTCATGAGTTCCAGACAACAAGGCCAGTGTTGAAGGACGATGGTTATTGTACCCAGGTTGCAGAAGGAATAGGCCTAATGCCTCGTGCGCAACGCACAATGTGATGCTTCCCCACTGGGCAAGAGGAGGATAAAAGTGGTGGCTTTTGGGAGGCTGCTCTACTCTGCTCGTGCCAGATGCCAGATTGCAACCAAAGGCTCTTCTGTACACATAAAATCACTATGGAGGTTGTGGAAGCATCTGCCTGGCTCTCTTTGAAGCAATAAGAAAGATGGACAAGCCAAGCTAGCTTGGTGGGAGAATAACGCACTGACGTAGAATGAATTTATTCAGAATCAGAAAGAGCAAATGCTGTATTCTCTTTAAAACTTCGGAAGAGGGTAGAGTAAAACTATTGAAATAAATAATGAATTGTACACAAGACTGAAAGAAAGCTTTATTGTTGATTTTTACAAAAATAGCAGCATGTAGTAATCCACAGCGCAAACTCCGGGGTAGGGGGACTTCCACTTGTCTGAATTGCTCAGTTTGCCTCTCCTGGCTTTCCTGCAAAACCTGACAGCTGCCAAACACACTCTGCAGAGAGAAGAGTAAAGTGGTGGCTCATAGGCTGTCACCGTAGCCTCCGCTTGCCCACCACAGTGCCATCCCACCACATTGGCACAGAGTACTTTGCAGTGCCAAAAGAGCGGGGGAATCTACGGTCAGAGAAGCCTTCCGCACCAAGAAAAAAGAAAAATTCTGCCACTCTCTTTAAATCATATGACAATTAAAAATTGTCTCTTAGAGGACCCAGTTATCTAACTTTGCACAACTTTACTTCTGCTAGTCATGGCAGGGGTAAGAACGCTTCAGCTCCATCACAGATGTCTGGGGATTGTATTCATTTCTGTCTTACCCCACCATCCTGTCTTTCTGGCTTCTGAGATACCAGCAGGCTCAGCGCCTGCCTAACTGTCAAGCATACATTTGAGCTAGAAAGTTCTCTCCCCACTCCTCTTTTTTTTAAATGATAGCTGAGGTTTTCTGGAATTCTGCATCCACTGTCAGGTTCTGTGTTTCCATCACAACACACTCCCTATAGCAAGAAGGCTGCTTCTCTTGGTATCCATTGTGTGGGGATGGAAGCCCTGCAACCTCCAGCCAGTTTTGTGTTCATTTTCTGTGTGGGTAGGTAAGCTCTCTGGGGTGTTAGGGGTGTTAGGGGAGGGGTAGTACCTCTGGTAGGGGACACACTGTGCTCCTTCTGGGGTAGTTTGTCCACATTTGGTCTCCACCTTGCACTCAGCTCTCACCTGTGGCTCCTAGAAGCTGTCAGCATGTGACAGCAGCCACACCCCGGGAAAGGACTTTGGCTGGCCTGCTAAACCAGGTGGGGCTCAAACTAAGGTTACCAGACGTCCCTGTTTCCCAGGGACAGTCCCTGGATTTACAAATCAGCCCCCATACAAAATCCATTGAAGTTGAAATGTGTCCCCAGATTCATTAAAAAAAATCTGGTAACCTTAGCTCAAACCCTTGGTGAATGAGAGACTTCCCCTGTGTCGGACTGGACAGAGGAGGAATGGTGAAGACCACCTCCCCAGCTTGACCCTTCCAGGGAGGAGGAAGAGCAGGACAGTTAAGATTTACAACAGGGGTTTGAGAGAGGTCACAGCTCAGGGGCAGATGAGGGGAAAGTTGGGAAATAATGGGAGAGGAGGAGGAAGCACAAGGAGGGCGACAACTGAGGGACACAGTGTCTTTAGAAAGCATTCCAGAACCACCACCCCTGAACCCGGCGAGCCTTGAAAGTAGGAGAGCAAAGAGATCAAAGACAGAGGGCACATAGCAGCACCTGTAGAGAGGAGGTGATGAGGATGACAAATGAGGAAAGTGGGAGAAACGGGGGGTGGAGATTCGCTCGGGACAACGCCATTATCCAAGAGGCTGGGTTCTATAGCCTCTCTCTGTAAATACTGAAAAAAAAGCGGATGGTAAGAAACTCTTCCTTGTCTTTTACGTTCTTGGGCAACCAGCCGGGAGTCGCTGGCAGCAGCCTGACACCCTGCATGCGAAGACAGGCTCTGGCAAATTGAGTAGACGAGACCCAATAGTGGGTCCAACAGTCAAGGTGGCAGTTTCTGCATGTACTGTAGAGGGAAGAGAGGAGCAGATAGGGATCATCCACCTGGGAAGGTAGCCCATCTAGGAGAAGGAGTACTCTGAACCTAAACCTCTGCTGAATTGTGGGATACCTTCAGGAGAAGAAAAGGATAAGGAGTAAACCCTACACAAATCCAGAGTAGAGCACCTAAGACGGTTTGATGGCACCTTGTACACTTCCTTCCCGCAACTCCTGCAGCTAAGCTGGTGCAAAGCGCATTGTTCTGCTTTCCTTTGGACCACATCAGCCAGGCTGAAAGAGAGGCCTTGCCGTCTGGGCAGCCCAGGACCTCCAAACACACCGCCCAGGCCTGCACCCCAGGGAGGTCACTTTGGTGCTGCTAACACAGCGGTTTGACCACCCTCAGAAGTGCACTCCATTGTCTAGCTACACACGCAAGATGCCAACAACAACAAGGATAAACTCTGGCCCTCTGTGAGCTCCCATCTTTCCTGACCATCAACCATGCTGGTTAGGGCTTATGGGAGATGGAATCCAGTAGCCTCTAGCTGGTGTGAAACTAGGCTTTATTTCACCCAGGTCAAAGACCCATTTTGACACACACACATGCCCTTGTGCATTTGAGTACACAGAGAGAGAGACTGAGAGCCTCAATGGCATGCCTTTGGAGGCTTCACTGGGGGCAAAACACCAGGCTTGACCACCTCGTGGCTCTGGCTCTGGCCTCTAGAGGACTGCAGCTTCACCACCCCTGATTTACTGCCTAGCATTGTGGTGGAATTCCTCCACTTTCGCGTACTGAAATTCTATAGGTACCAAAAAGTATTACCATAACTAGGACAGTGCTCTGGCACAGCATCCCTGTAATGATGGCTGTTGATGAAGAGATGAGAAGGGAAACTCCTCTTCTTCCTTGCCTCTGCAAAGTTTCCAGCGTACAAAGGTACAGCTTCCTCAACCTTACAATATGAATTTGGCTGTAAGAAAGAGGTCTTGGATGCAGCGCAGCTAGGGGTGAAGTGCTGCTTGAGGCGGCCACCAGGGGGTAGTATAGTCTAAAACGCGGAGCTTTCTGAAAAGTCACCACAACACATGGGAAAATGGAGAAATCCCTGACAGCTCTGGAATGGTCAGGTTTGGGCACCGTTTCACACATTACACAGCAACAAGCAAGGGATTGCCACTGAGCATACACTCGACGGGCAGCTGCAAGACAAAATATTATATAAAGAAAATAAACCAAACCTGGTGCACCGTAAAAGAGGCATATTTTCAAAGCACTGCTTGACACGTTCCATTTTGGGGTGTACACTTGGACAGTGTATTGTCTGAAGCAGCCCCCAAGCACCCAAGTCAAGTAATCAGCCCCTAAAGGCACCCTGATCTGTGCCTCTAGGTTTGCTGCATCCCCACATTTTGAGTAAGACCAATGCTGATATTTAGATATTAATACAGAAGACATTTTTAGAACCAGAGAAGTCAAACAGGGACACCTAGGGCAGGCATGCCCAACAGGTAGATCAGGGTGTTCCTGGTAGATCCTCGTTGATCTCTGGCCCCACAGCGACCTCCTTACAAAAAAGCAAAAACAAAACAAAAAACCAACTTTGGCTCACTAAAAAAAAGCTCAAGCTCCACAACTCTGGCTTCCTAAAAAAAAGCTCCACAGCTTTGGGTAGATCACTGTCAGTCTTATTATGACAATGAGTAGACCACTGCCACTTTTTTATACTGGGAGTAGATCGCAGTCTATTGGGAGTTGGACGCCCCTGATCTAGAGGAAAGGTGGTTTGTGACTTGGGTTCCCCCACCTTCCCTCATGATGTTGTTGTCGTCGTCACATTCCCACTTGTTACTTGGGGTTTTTGCTATAATTAATTAAACATAACAATAGCTTCTCTAGATTAGGAACTTTCACAAAGCAGAGAGAGGAGGGGGCAGCAAAAGGGGAGAAATATTGTTCCTTTGGTTCTGTTGCCCCTCCCTTTAAAGCAAAAGCAAATAAACAAAAAAGTACTTGATGCAAACGCTGTTCGTTTCAGGACGGTATCAACTTAACAGCGAGTAAGTGAGCAGCCAATTCTTGCAAAGAAAAACCATTTGAAAGGGATACAGTTCAATGCAACATGGCATTTTTTAAATGATCCAGACCTAAGGTTTGCTGGTGTCAGGTTTGGGACATCTCCCAAGGTCTTTATAAGGCTCCCAACAAGCATGTCTGGACACATCTGGGGACTTGGAAGACGGGAGGGAAATTGGACCCTGGAATTATTCCCCACAGATTTCAGCACATGGTATTTAATTTGAGGTGAGTGCCCAGAACAGAAGTCTCTTCTCCAATTGCATTTCTAGTTACTGAGTCTTTCTTCTTCTTCTTCTGTTATGCAGGTAGCTCAACTAGTAAAGCAGGAGACCCCTTAATCTCAGGGCCGTGGGTTCGAGCGCCACACTGGGAGAAAGATCCCTGCCTTGCATGGAGTTGGACTAGATGACCCTTGTGGCCTCCTCAAAGAAAATATTTGAGGGCCCCCCAAGTTAATGGACATTGCCATTCAATGGGGTGGGGAATGTACCAGGCCATGTGATTGATTATGCAGGGCAGGGTTTACCTGTCCCCTCCCACCAATATCTTATTCAAGTTGGACCCTGGTCTGCAGCCTCATCTTCCAAACCAGAGGTTGCCTCTCAACAATTCGGAGCGAGCCCTGCCGCTCTTAATGGGCTTCGAAATGACACTTTCAACCCGCAGGACTGAGGATTGGGGGCCCTAGAGCTGGACCACAAAGAAGGCTGATCGCTGAAGAATTGATGCTTTTGAATTCTGGTGCTGGAGGAGACTCTTGAGAGTCCCATGGACTGCAAGAAGATCCAACCTCTCCATTCTGAAGGAAATCAGCCCTGAGTGCTCACTGGAAGGACAGATCGTGAAGCTGAGGCTCCAAGACTTTGGCCACCTCATGAGAAGAGAAGAGTCCCTGGAAAAGACCCTGATGTTGGGAAAGATGGAGGGCGCAAGGAGAAGGGGACGACAGAGGACGAGATGGTGGGATAGTGTTCACCAAGCTATGAACATGAGTTTGACCAAACTGTAGGAAGCAGTGGAAGACAGGAGTGCCTGGCGTGCTCTGGTCCAGGGGGTCACGAAGAGTCGGACATGACTAAATGACTAAACAACAACACTACGCCCACTCGGCACGTCGAGCCCATTTCTTAGTTTTTATTATACTGTCAACAATCGATTGAGTGATTGATTGATGTCCCCACCCGTCAGGGCGCAGAACTTGGGAACGGGAATAAAATAGTAGACGCGCTAGACG